CACACTATCTCACTGTCACATAAGTAAATGTTAGTAGAAAACAAAAACGACCAATGGAGCATAATTTATAACAAATTCATTTATCAATAATAAAATTCATTACTGTCCACTTACCTCGGTGAGATTCATGAAAACAACTTATGAAAATAATAACATTATAATATTATGAAATCATACGCACTCTGTAACATAACACATGTCATACTTTTAATATTTCAATCATCAAGCAACAAATTTCCTCTTTCACCAGCCTACCAGTATCCATGGGGATCCATAGGGGTTCCAGCTACATGTGAACAATTCATTTTAACAACTTAAGTCTAAGGCCGTCCCCATACCCCGTTCGGTATGGACGCCAAATCAATAAACCTCAATACCCCGTCCGGTATAAGGGTGAAGCGTGCTGTTCACATACCCCGTCCGGTATGAGCACCAAAATATTTAGAGTCTCCATACATTGTCCGGTATGAGAGATAACGTTCCCGGTATGGTCCCCTATGGACCCGGTCCGTCCACCATCTCCTAAGATGTCTAGTGAGGCTGTTAACCTATCTATTTATCAACTCAATCCCATTCCTATTTGTTCTTAGTCTCAATTACCCAATCAAACATGAATACGTAAACCAGTAACGAACACCAAACTAGGCAAACATAACATCAGGTTCACAATAATCAAACCATAATAAATTAAACAGTAAATCATGCATACGAAGCCACATAATAAACAAATTAGATACTACACTGCATCTAGACTGTAAAATAAATCAAACAGGAACTGACCGAAAAACATATCAGATTCGGGCTCCATTAGCAACCTTAATTAATTATACATATCCATGAATTCATAATATACCGTTTTATCATTTATTAGACTTTAATACCGTGATAGAAAATAGGGTGAGAGATCCTTACTTGATTCGAAGTCTAAAATCGATTTTTTTCACTGTGCCTACGGGCAGTTCCTTGATTCCCTGAATTTTTCTCTGGGAACTGAAACACACTTCCAGTACCTGTACATCTCCCCAAAAAACTCCAAATCAGACCCAGGGCCTCCTCAGCCAATTTCAGAATTCCAGCACGGCGGCTCCGCCGTGCTCCAGCGACGACGGGGCGATTCACCTCGGGTTGGCCGTTTTCGGCCGAAATCAACCAAACTTGCATTGGTTCCTGTGATAAAACAGACGTAAGGCCATCGGTGGGCCGAAAAAGCTCAAAAAATCGAGACTTACCGGCTGCGGAGCTCTCGGGTGCGGCGGCTCCTCCGGCGCGAGTCACGATTTGGTGTTTTGCTCTGCTCAACCTATAGAGGAAAGGACGGTGGTCACAGTGGTGTAAAAATTACATCGAACGGGAATCAAAAAGGGCCTCATCGGAGGCAAAAATTGAAAAAACCTGCAACGGTATTTTTCGGTCAATTGGCCAGTGGTTTGGCTCCGATTTGGCCACAGAAGGGTTCAGCATCGAAATCCGAGCCAATGAGAGAAATTTTACCTCGTTTGGCGACTGAAAAGTGCTCCAGTGCGGCGACGGGTGGCGGCGGTTAGTTCCTCCAGTGGCTGGGTTGTCTTCTCCGGCGAGGGCTCTAGCGGCTAGGGTTTGGAGTTGGGTATGAATGAGATTATTTATAACCTTCCCCTTTTAATCTGAGCTATCCATCACGATTTAATCTGGACAGTCCATCACGATGCGATCTGGACCGTCTGTGCGTGATTCAATCTGGGCCGTCCGCATGCGTGTAATTTGGGCCTTCCCTGCGCGCGTTTGATCTGGGCTGTCCGTGCGCGCGGGAACGGATCTCAGCCGTCCGATCGCACACACGCGGATCGCCCACGTGGCCCATTCCACGTGGCCTTCCTGCGTCAGTATCTCTGCCACGCGGCGTATCCTGGTTGACCGGAGCCGCTGACCGGGCCGTTGACGTGGCTGCTGACATGGCACAATTTTTTTAAATTATATTTTGACTCCTGGTTTCTGATTTTCTTTTCAAAAACACCCTCAGAATCAGAATTTTCACCCATTTTTTCCAAAATTATTTTCAATTAAACCTCAAAAATAATTTTACCCATTTTTATCATTATTATTATTTTTATTTTTATTAAATTAAATTAAACTAAATTGAAACAATTATATTATTACTTAAATAAATAAATAAAAGAAAAATTAAAATAAAATGAAATAATAATAATTCCAATAATAATAATAAAAATAAAATTAGGGTGTTACATAAAGAAACTTGATCATTCGTAGAGCACAGTTAGTATTGGGTAGTATTAAGATACACTTTCTAATTATATCTATCATGTTTTCTTTATGATCTACGTTTCTATTATTCATCATGTATTTCTTCCATTACATATCTAAGTGACTGATCATTCCTAGTTACCTAGCATAGAAATAAAAGCACACCATTCCTTCTTCTGTGTTTGTTCATGAGCTTTTGTAGAAATTAGATTCCCTTAGGATTCTTTGTTATGTTATAAAGGCTAACGTGCAGGTCTTGATCTAAGTGAATCTAAATCTAAATGCTCAACTGGACAGAAGAAGCTATAATTTGAAAGATTGTGAGGTAAACTCGAACAAAAGTAAGGGAGAGTTATTTGCTTTCATTATCCTTTCCTTGTAGGAATCTTTCATAATGAGTTTTTGTGATGAACTTGTCAAACTCCAGCACGACATGTGCAAACTCCAATATCTATTTGATGAATGGAAGGACCTACTACGAGAAGCATAAAGTGAAGAGATTGTCCATATATATAATAACGTGACGGAGAACTTTCCTATTCAACAAAAGATTCAAGCTCCCGTAGAGATCAAGAACCCTTTCACAAAAGATACAAAAGAAGGAAAAGAAGCCAACCACCAAGATTAGTCGTGTGTAGTTGCTAAGTCTTTTATTTTCAATGATGATTTCTTACATGATCTAGGAGTAAGTGTCGATCTAGTTGAGAATTACATCAATGAGGAACTCAACGAGCTAGGTAAGTATAGCCAGCTTTTTATTGTTATCACAAATATTTTCCTCTGTGATGAAGGTCAAGATTCGAGGACAAATCTCTTTCAAGAACGGGAAGATGATGTGTCCTACAAAGCCCAAAATTAGTTTCGAAGATGCAATCTCACTTCAAGGATGAGCCCCATGGAAATCCGAACTCCTACAAAATAATTTCCCATGAGTCTGCCATAGCACGGGGTCTCGAGCACGTTGCACAACAAACATGCACACGCTAACGCAATGGATTATTCTAGAACAGACCTTGTCTTGAAGTGGAACGTAAATTTCAATTTTTTAAATGGGAATACCCAGATCACAAAAGTAATTTAATCGCTAACTGCTACCCTAATTGGGGTTATTCCAAAAAATGGGGCAAGTTTACCCAAAAGAAACTCAAGGGCCAAATGGTGACATATGGGCTTGGACAATTACAAAGCAAGAAGAAAGGCCTATTTTTGGCCCAATTTGAGAAGGCTTCAAGGCCTTATGGCCAAGATGGGTCATGGCCTAAGGTTGTTGCACAAAAAAAAAAGCAGATTGGATCATGTTGCACCCATGGGTAGCCCACACCTGAGGAAGAGGCCCAATGCACACTAAGCATGCGCAACCCACATGTGCACATGTGCACACACAGCAAGGCCCATGTCCAGTAGGGGCGCACGAGTGCGGTCTAGGCCCATGCAATACCAACCATGTGATCTAAGTCTAACTTGAGCAGCTCGCGTGACCTAGGCACAACCCGAGCAGCCCTAAGGCAGCCAGTGCGGCTTGCCTCCCCTAAAATATTTTAGATTTAGATTTTTCTCACTTTTCCTATTTATACAAGGTTTCCAAGCTGCAACAACTTATATAAATTAATCTCATGTGATTAGTATACTTAAAAGTGAAGAAGGAACTCTATTCAAGGGAGAAGTCTAAGGAAGATAAAGACCCTTGAAGATTTGGGAGAAGGAGTCTATTAATTTATTAATATTTTAATGTTAAATCTTATCCACATGATTAATTAATTATTATTTTAGGATAATTATAAGAATTAGAATATTTTATTGTTTAAGTATTTGTTTTCCAGTTAATTTAATTCCTAGAGTTTGGATAGGAATCTTAAGTCCTATCCTAAGTAGAAGTAGTAAATAAAAGTCTTTATAAAGGCTTTATCTCAAGCATTGTAAACACACAACTTTGAGAATTAATAAATTAAAGCTTTGAACTTTTGTTTGAATTAGCTTTGTGCTAATTTTTCCCTCCAAGTTCTTCAAAATCTGTGTGCTTCCTTGAGTCTTAATTGAGCTGAGGAATTGGTAAAGATTTATCAGGTAAGTTCGTGGCATCTTTCTTTTTCTCATTTTTATGCCCTAGTTTTTGTTTTTATATTTCTTTTAGAATTGTAGATTCAATTAGAAGGAGATGTTTAATTAGACAATTAAATTTCGATATTGCATGTGTTTGTGTTTGTTTTAAGTTTACTGAAAAAATTACTTCTATCAAATTAATATCATTCAATTTAATATTTTTTATTTCCTTTTATCTAACACTCCCTAAATATCACCATTGTTTTAACATTTTTATTTAATTCTATTACCCATTTAAAACTTGTTATTTTCATATAATCTCTTATCACTCATTTTTAGCTTATTCTCATTTACAATAATTTAATTATCATGCATAATAAAATCAATTCTTAAATCAATTATTTCGATCATTCCACCCTTCTTTTTGATCTAATTACCATGTATGCTAATTAATCCAAGTTCTCAATTAGTCAAATTTGTATCCCTCTTTACCTTGTCTTTTCACAAGTTTATAATTTTTATTATAACTTATTTTAACGTATTTTCATTTGTCTCTTTCGCACATTTGCTCAATTTTATTCAAACCTCTAATTATTTTCATGTAATTTCTCCTATTCTTGTCAAGCAAATCCATTCACACTATGACAATACAAAGGCAAGCATAATTCAATTCACATGTAAAAAAGTAAAACATGCAAGCCAAACTCATGCAAACAATGTACAAACGGAGAAGGCAAAATCTTTTGAAATCATCAAGCATGGACCCTATCCCAATAGACACACTTCCTGGACAATGTTCAAGCCCCATTCTCGATCGGGTCCTTCACTCACCTACATCAACTACCATCTTAATTTTGGGCTAGCAAAACATTACTAAATTCCTAACATTTGCTTCGAGTCTAGGGGGAACCAGAAGTATTTACAAAATTTTTCGAGTAAATCTTCCACCAAATCGCGCTTATACGTAAAAGAAATCACTCAACAATAACCAAAGACGTTCGATTTCTCGCGTGCTAATGATTTTCCCGTCCGCTCTGAATCTATGATAGACATTTTGAAGTCCTGAAATCACATGCAATTTAGAATACATAACCCTTAAAATGAACTAAAGGTGTTGGCTTCAAAAATAACTTACTGGTGCCGCTCGAGTTCTAGTTCCTTTCAACTTTCAACGAACTTTAGGGATTCCAAAGTTGGGTTTTTTTATCTAAAATGCTAAGGCATTATTAGAACGGTCAACAAATGAATAACATCTAAAAGGAAACACAAAATCACATGTTAAAAGTTAAATCCCATCGTTTCCTTACCGCAAAGTTGAGTGCCCATCTTCCCCCCGACAACTTTTTCTGCCTCCATGTGGCTGACCATTTTCGATTGTCCAATCAACGAGATTGCCTCTCACTCCTGATTACCACTTTTCTTCTCCTTCTTCTTCTTCTTCTCAGTCACTGTCGCTCTCTCTCTCTTCCTCTCTCTGCTCTCGTAGCTAGCATTTACCTTTTCTCTCTCTCCTTTTTCTGCAGCAGATCCCTCTATCAACTCTTCCCCTTCCAAAAATTAAAGGAAGACGATTATGGTTCCTTATGTACCCTTGATACAAAATCTGGGCCGTTGGATTAAAGAGGGTCATTTTTGTCATTTTACATTTAAAAAATTGATGCTAATCGTCCAATCTTGCTTTCTTAAATCATGATCGTTAGATCTAGGGCTAGTTGGCCACGCATGCGGGTTCCCTCATGTATCCGCCACAAGGCGGATTGCAATTGGTTTCGCAAATGTGTGAGCATCTGGCATGGCCCGCATTTAAAAAATTGCAAAATGATCCCAAGCACACAAATCCTTTTATTTAGGGCCCCGACATGTTTTTTAAAATTAAAAAAAGGTCCCAGACGTCCCAATTTCTTTTGAGTCTCTAAACCCTTAATATAATCATCTTTGGGTTTAAAATTTATTTTTAAATTTCTTTGGCTTTCTTTAATTCTCAAAATACCAATAATTTACATATTTAATTTCCAATTGTATAACTGTTAAATTTTTCACCCAAAAATTTCAAAATCTTTTATTTAAAAAATGTATTTCTAATTAGTTTCTCGCCTATAATTTACAAATTCATTGAATTAAGTCCTCCAAAAAATTTCTAATTCATTATGATACCCTTCCTTTTCCTAATGCCTACCAAAAATATTTTCAAAACATGTGTCCAAAGTTTGAGATGTTACAACTCTCACCTTCTTTAAAATTTGATCCTCCAAATTGCACTTGTATAATTTTGGAAATTTCTTCATTTGTTTGCAAGTGTAATTTTTAACCTAATGGGGTCATTGAAATCTTTCCACTTAGCGGAATTATTTTAAAACTGAAATCTCTTCTTCTTAACTCTAATCAATAAAGGTATAATTTTTTAAAGGTGGGTCTCTTAAATTTAAAAAATTTTAGTACTTAAGGTTTATTAATTGTGGCATCTCGATACTTGCTGGGAATAAAAAAGAGCCTAATAACAGAACATATACGAGTGCATAAAAATAAACAAATATATATGCAGAGCAAAATATCATCGCTTACAAAAATTTGAGTTTCAAATTTTACATATGAGGCCAAGAAGATAGTTGGCAAATTACATATACACACAAAAGTTTATGGAGAGTCACTTCTTCCATTACAAGAGTGTTTCATCGGAGTGTGAACAGATAATGCACTCGAAATCCTCCTAAAGATCCGAGAACACATCCAAATAAGCTTCAATGTGCAACTAACTGAGTGAATCATCACTTCCATCATCTGAAGGGAGACATGGATTGAGGTGAGTTCCAAATAACTCAATAAGGGAAATAATATCTAAACTACACAACTAAAGTTTTCAAAGATTATTTATTTTTAAAGCATATCATTATCATATAAACAAGTGACTTACCTCTTGGACTTGTCGCAAAACATGTTCATTTGAAATATTGAGAAAATGTTTATTTTTCTTTTAAACTAAATTAGAAACATCAATATTTAAATCACAACGGAAAGTAAAGATAGAGCATTGTAACATAAAAGAGTCAATGATGCAATGAAGCAACGTAATAGAAACTAGTTATACCAACTAAAAGCATGGTAATGTTATAACGGAAGAGTGAGAAACATATTCATTTCAAGAAAGACTACTAAAGCATGGGAAGTCAATCAACCATGTCATCAAGTGGTTAAATTTTATTTACGTCTTTTACAGGTTTTCGTACAAAGGTGTTCTAACTTATATATGAATAGGCAAATAAATTCATTTCAATATTTGATGTTTCAGAAATAAATTAATGACCACGATCATACTTCACCATTGTGGCCTCTACAGATTAGATAAGACTAATAATAACCACGGTCGTGCTTTACCACTGTGGTCCCTACAGATAAATTGCGAATCCACTCTCGTCAGAGAAAAAACTAGTACCATTCACAGGGAGTGGTTCACCAATAGATTCAGATATAGAAATAGACGCAAAAACAGAAACCCCCCAGTGATAACGGAAAAGATGGAAAGATTGCTTAATGACTTGTAAACCATACGAAGGAAATTCAAACTCCATGTCTCTCTCACAAATTTTCCCTAAATTCTTTCTATAATATGAAGAAGAAGAAATGTGTGAAGTGAAAAGGGAAGGGGTGGGCCTTTTAAATAGATTTTCCACGTGAACGAGGGCCATAAGAATGCTTGGGCAATCGGTGGCTACTGGTCGGCCACTACATATAATGTGCATGCACGCTCGAATAGGCTAACATGATAGACAAACTGGCAGGCATGCTCGCACACTGTCATGTCCGCGACGTGACAACCCCGTGTGTGCAACTGACATGCAGGCATGCGGGCACACAAGCGTGACGGCTCATGGGGCTTACGGGCCGTTCTCATGGGTTCGCGGAGTTTTTTCGCATTGTTTTTTCCATTTTATGTTTTTTTTTTATTTTTCCTGAAAATTTCAGAATAATTTAGTACAAAATAATAATAAAAAATAAAAAAAATATAATTTTAAAAATTAAAAATTAAAATAAGGTCAAGTGTAATAAAATTCTAAATACTGACTAAAATTTAAAATTAATGTCAAAGGTCGTAATGCACTAAAACATGAAGTATAAAAAAAGGGCATTTGAATACAAAGTTTTCGAGGTGTTACACTAATCCTCAAAATTTTTTCATTTAAGCCTAATGTCTCCTTATTACATTCTATAAAATTATTATCCTGAATTGACTTTGATGGAGGCATCATAACTTTTTGATGTTGTCTTAAGAATCTCTTAATAAAATATGTCATATCATTTATTCTGTACAAGGTGATTATTCAATTACCAAACCAGTGTCGATGCATGATAGGTTTAGAGCCTCCCAAAATTCATATATCTTATTTAAGTTATTCATTTTCTAACTCTTGAAAATTAATATGTGATTATGCTGAAGATATCTTTTATACTCTCTAAATACCATCAAAACATACGCATTGCCTTTAAAGGTTTGGGGTTATAAACTATTTTTAGTTGGTCATACTCGTATTGGAAATTCACTAACGTGACAGTTTAAGCTTATTATTCCTTTTTATAATTAAGACATTCAAGATAGGTGAACACATAAATTAAGTTGGTGTAGTGGTTCTTTTATGACTTTTAAATAGTACTTGTGGTTTTGGTACAATATTAGGGTTTTCAAGAACCCTCTTTTTCTTTTTTGATAAATTGATATCATATTATACCTGTAATTCGTCAAAGTTTGAACGATCTCTAAAATGCCTCAATACTTGATTCAACTTTCCTTAAAGTTTTTTTGGAATTTTCATTGCAAGTCATGGAGTCATAGTTACTACCAATAATCATTAGGAGTTTCTTTAGTAGAAGGGTCACTCATTAGTTTTCTACATTTGGTTATGTTTGTTTCTAACTCCTGTAGGATTAGGTATTTTACTTTTGTGTTTTTCTAAAATTTGAAGTGACCACTCTTAAGTATGATCTTAAGATAGGTTTCAAAAGTTTATCACATCATCAATTTCTCCTTATTGGTTTGGAGAGAAGTTTCCTATGTGTGGTTGGTTATAGGTCCACTACTCTTCCACTGCACTATTCTTATAAGACTTACTTTAAGGATTTGTGCTAAGGTATTGGTATATTTTATTTTATTTTATTTCTTTTTTTGTGGTCTACTTAGCTATAAGGGAATCATAATCTAAGGTTTTCATGTTATTAGTGATTGTTGTTAGGGTATGTCCCAAGGGTTTTCCTTTTCTTTTATAGAAATCTACTTTAGGAGGAACAAGGACTTTTTCGGGAAAAGTCTTCTAACTAGGAGTACTCTGTCTTAATTTACTATAAGGATTTCCTACCCGCCAAACACATAATTATTCAATCTCCTAAAGTATTTTTATTCACCAAACACATGATTATTTGCTGATCTAGGGCTTGAGTTGTTATTGGAACCTCTATGCAGAACCTTGATAGAAACGTTGGGATGCGTAGGGTATTCATTCTTCCTAAATAAAATTAATGGGGGACCATAAAATTCATCAAGGTATGTGGTAGTTATTTAGTCTCCCAAAATGCTTAAACTTAGGTATACTTGTTTTTGGATTTTTACTTCTTCATGATCTTCAACGAATTTAGAAAAAGTTTTCTTAAGGCTCCCATACTTGGGATGTTTGCCTCCACTTTAGGGATTTTTCCTTCATCAAAGGGTTTTTTTTCCCTATTCGGCGGA